AGCACACACGCTACACCATAAAAAAGAGACTAGTAGCTTCTAAAACCACCATGGATCTAGGATTTTGATAGTTGTATGGCACTATACAAGCCATTCAAATGGTGTGGGGTTTATTAACACATGACATGTATTAATTATTTTTTTAATAATATTTAATAATTAAAAATTACCAAACAATCATTAAAAAAAAAGGAGAGAGAATAAAAGGATTAAAACACGTTTTAAATCAACCCTTTTTATATTTTAATTTCAAGGGTAATTCCTCCATTCGACATTTTTTTTTAAAAAAAAAAGGAAGAAGCCCCTCCGTATGTTTATTTATAATTTAATTGTGAAAGTTTTTTTTGGAATGGACTACAAGCCTCACAATTTTTTATTTTTAATAGCAACATAATTATTTTATTATAATAAAAAAAGTTACAATCAATTTGTTCCTTTTAATTTTACAATAACTGATGTATCCCTCTAAAAAAAATATTTAAATAAAATATATATTAATTAAAAATTTAAAAATCAAATTTAATATAATTAGCAAATAATATAATATTTTTAAATTTTCTATAACTTCTAAAAAAAAATTCAACTTAAAATAAAAAAATATTTTTGTAAAAATCAAGTTAATTTTTTCTTTAATTATAAAATATTTTTTATTGACTAGCTTTTTCAATAACATACACAAATTTTTTTTAAAAAATTACTTTTTAGACAAACAAACACTCCCTTACAAGATTATAGTCATGCATGCTTTAACTGTTTATTTATATATTTTAAATGTATTTAAAAAAATAAATTTTTTTATTTATTTTAAATTACTTTAATATTTATTATCACGCCTCAAAGGTAGCCTATGAAGGCCATGATTTCGGGATTTGCAAGTCTGCGACCGTTACCTTTTGAAACTTGTATATAGCATGTGCCTATATAAGATCAGTCACGTCATCATCCACGTGTAGCTTGAAAATATGGTGAGGTTTTGCACGTGGATTCTTCTATACGTGTTGAAAATATAGTAAAGTTTTGTACTTTTATTCTTAAATGAGCTTCGAAAGTATGGTTATTCAGAAAGTGATATTTATATATGATTGAAAATAAAAAAATTAATAATATATTTTTATTGCACTATTTGAATCATCGTTGAAATTTCATAATATATTGTGCTTAAAATATAAGTTTGGAACAACGTATTTGTTTTTTAATATAAATACACGTGTCAAGGTAGTTTAAATTAATATATGGAAATGGAATTAACATAATTTTGAGTTTGTAAAAATATAACCATCGAGGAAAATAAAAAACATATACCCATACAACACACGAGGTCTAAAAATCAAGTTTTCTTATTTTAATTTTTTTTTCTAACTTTACAGAACGATGATCCAACTATCATATATCAATCATTGTTTTGAAACCTTATTTAATTAATAACTTTAACCAAAGCTGAAGTTGATGGATTGAGCAAGTTAATGAATTAATCAAGATTGATAGCTTTTTTTTAACAAGAAAGTGGTTTTTTAAAATAAATTTAAGAAAAAAATCAAAAAAAATTAATTAGATTTCACTAAAGTTTCGATAATAAAATCACTCAAATCACGTGTTAAAATCTATGGCTATGTAAATTAAAACTCAACCCATTACAAGACTATAAAATATAAAGTTATTGTGATGCCAAGTATCTAAATATGTGAATTTATTTATTAAAATAAATAATAATAGAAATTAACACACACACACGCATATATGTATATATAAATTAGGTTTTTTAAAAAATCAACAATTTTTTAAAAAGATCAGTTTTACGGATGACGGGTGAATCATATCTATTCTTTTTTAAAAAAATAACATGTTTAATATCATAAAAAATAATCATAATATAAAAAGGACTAAATGAGCTGAAAAAATTATAAAACATAAATATTAAATAAAATACAAATTAATAACTTATTTTAAAAAATACATATAAAAGAATCATGCATTATTAAGCATGGTAAACCAGGGCCATCGACTTGTCCATCATGCAACGCACATGAGTAGTTTGTTGCCCAAGGTGTTGTCCAAGGATTAAGTGTGGATGATAACATGCACTCGTGTTTAACGGTCCATTTGGCTAAGTATTTGCAACAATATTTTTATTTAACAATAGCAACATATCATTATCATTTGGTTACAAAATAAATCGTAGTTTTCATACATGGACCTTACCTTTATTTGCGTTCAAAACTTAATTTTACTGAAGCAGAAATTAGATGTTTTTCATTTCCTGTTCATGCAACTATGTTTATAAACATAGTATAAAACTGTTCTCATCTTCCTTCCTTTACCAGTGCTTTGGGTATGAGTGGATTTTATCCAGATGAGAAAACCACAAGGGTTGTTCTTACTTGGGTATGCCACTGTTGAAGGCGTCGAGAGAGACAACTGGGTTGCCTTGCTGAAATCATTTTTCTTTTGTTCAACCACGAGGGCTATTCTTAATAGTTTTCCTTTCTCTAGTCTTCGTAATTGTTGTTGCACTTAAAGATGAGATGACGATGATGAAGGGCTGGCCTACTGAAACTATTTTCTTTTCTTCTGTTTTCCCTTTATTCTTCCTCTAGTTTTTTGACAGAGAGTGAATTAATTCACTCTCTGTCAAAAAACTAGAGGAAGAATAAAGGGAAAACAGAAGAAAAGAAAATAGTTTCAGTAGGCCAGCCCTTCATCATCGTCATCTCATCTTTAAGTGCAACAACAATTACGAAGACTAGAGAAAGGAAAACTATTAAGAATAGCCCTCGTGGTTGAACAAAAGAAAAATGATTTCAGTTTAAAAAACCATAAAAATTGTAGCCTTTGTCCGATAAATTTCATATGTGATAGAATTGTGAATAGTTTAATAAAACAATAAAAAATATTTTATATAAAGTATTATTCATTCCATGACATAATAGCAGTAGTTAAATCGATAATATTTAAATTAAAAACTATCCATATTAATATATATCCTTTTTTGTTATTTTATAACCTCAATTTAAAAAGCATTCTTAACAAAATACATTAAATAATTTTAATATAACCTTGATTTCAATCACAGTTTTAACTAAACATATATTTTTTCAAACCAGTCTCAACTAAAAGTACTTTCATTAAATACTTTTAATATAACCTTAATTTCAATCACAATTTTAACTAAACATATATTTTTTCAAACCAGTCTCAACTAAAAGTACTTTTTATAAAATATTTTTTTATAAACCACAACCACAACAGCTACCACAATACCAAACAAACTTTTAGGCTGAGTGATAACAACCTTCCATTTCTATTTAAATCATGTCAATGTTAAGCTACACTTCCTCCAACAGTAAGTAAGATTCAATAATAAAATCAAATTTTGTATAAGATCTAGTGTCTTTGAATGAACGACATGTATTTTCAAATAGACAACAAGAACTAACTTGAGTAATCCACATGTACATGGTTCTTGAAATTAGTGGTGAGTTATTAGATCAAAATAGTATAAATCTTGTTTTTTTATCCATTATCCTTTTATTTATTAAATGAGTATCCAAACCTTATAAGAATCTATTTGATATTTTGATTTTTTAAAGTTTTTTTCTTGAAATATATTAAATTAATTTTTTTATTTTTTTGATATCAAGATGATTTAAAACCCTGGAAAAACTTTGATGTCAAGATGATTTAAAACCCTGGAAAAACTTATCTAAAAAAATAAAAAAAAAAATTACAATGTAAAAACAAACAATGCTTAAATTCATCCAACTCTTGTCGTTTTAGTCAATTCATTTTAATTATTTAATTAATTTTGAATATTTTTACAAATTGACATGTAGGCATGGAATTGAAAAGGCTTTTCAATAAAAGACTAAGATATAATTACAAAAAAAAAGAAGGCAAAAAACTTTTGGATGATAAATAATTTGTAAGAAAATAAATAAATAAATGGAAAATAAGTTGGTTTTTGAAATTTCAAGAGATAAAATAAACATTTTCAAAAATTTCATTTTACAAGTACATAAATGAATTGACTTGATATTGCTATCTAGATATTGTTGCGACTATTTATTGACAACATATTATTTACCAAGCGTTATATTAATGTTGCTTTTTAAAATATATTTTTTATTATTTTGACATAAAATATCAAAATACATATTAATATTTTTTAAAAAATTATATTAAATACATTTTTAAAATAAATTACCAACAAAACAAACACTACTCAAGTTTTAACAAAAGCAGACCAATTAAATATAACTCAACTCATTAGGTTTTAAATTTATTTTCAAAAAGTTACCGGTTTAAATCCCATAAATTTCATGAATATTTAAGGCTATGATTGTTAATTTTAGGATCCGTAAAATTAATCGAGATATATATAAACTCATCTGAATACTTGTATTAAAACAAAAACCAATTAAAAAAATTAAAAACATCCAAAAAAAATTCCACATCTATGCCATATTTGAAGAAATTTGAAGAAAAAAACCTATGAACATGATGGAGATTGATATTTTATCGGAAGCATCTCTTTCTCTTTTTTTCAAGTAAAACTATTTCTATTAATCTTGGAATATTTTAATTATTTATAATTTTTTCTCAATAACATAATAATTATTAAATCTAATTTCATCTAACAAAACATAAATTCATGATAAAAAGTTTTAATTTTAATTATTTAAATATTAATTTAATTTATTTTTGATAACCCAATAAGTTAATTTGTGATTTAATTAACTTGATTGATTTTTTATATAAAATTAATTAAATTAAAAAAATATTATTTAAAAAAACTGTGATTAACTCAACAACTCACAAATTAACTCAATAATTCAATAACCCAAACTCTTAGACCACTGAATTAAACATTTGTCATGTTTGAATGGAAAATATTGCAAGGAAATAAAATAAGAAAATAATAATAATGAATTATCATTAATGATAATAAGTCCTCGTTAACGCCATCGCACTCCATCAGCGCACATCAGCGAAACCCAAATCTTCAGACATTAAAAAAACTCAAATCAAAATTCAAATTCCTAAATTAAAATAAGAAGAAGGAAAAACAATGATGACCTCACCTTCCTCTCGCTCTCCCTCTGCAACAACCACACCGCACCACCACCACCACCGCCAACACTAGTAACGACACGTCGTTCCTTCACAAAATCCGATTCGAAAACGCGACAGCCGACGATCCCCTCTCTATCGCAACTTCTCTTTATATTACATTTTCTTCTGCCTAAGTAAAAATATCAAATTTCTCTCATTTCTCTCATCAATTTCCTCGAGAACCAAACAGAAAACTTCGATTTCTTTCTCTCTCTCGGTAATTTCTCTCAGCTGATACCTGCCTCCGACTTAGGTTTTTTTTTTTTTGCTTCGATTTCGATCGGGCGTCTCAGTTCGGCATTTCAATTTTTAATCACTCAGACCAGTGAAAAAAATTGGGTTTCAGATTTCGAAATTAAGGTTTTTGGTCATTTATAGGGTTTAACATTGAATTCCAACTTTGTGTTTTTAGTTAGGGTTATCTTTGATTATCTGATTTGGAGAGAGGGAGAGATAAGTTAGGGTTTTATGATGGTAGATAGACAATGGTGAGGCTATTAGGATTAACTCGTGGAGAATCAGATGATTCTCCACGAGAGATTACCTCGAGGACGACTCCTTTAACTAGTGAGTCAGGTGAGAGTGGATGGTTAATTAGATTTTTTGATTCAGCTTTCTTTTGTGAGTGGATTGCAGTAAGTTATCTATATAAGCATGATCATGCTGGGGTTCGGGATTATCTGTGTAATAGAATGTATACATTGCCCTTATCGGGTGGCGAGAATTATTTGTTTCAAATTTGTTATATGATGATACATAAGCCAAGCCCGTCGCTTGATAAGTTTGTTATTGATATGTGTTCCAAGTCATTGTTAATAGCTTTGAAAGTACATTGGTTTTTGTTGGCGGAGCTTGAAGATTCGGATGATAATGATGGGATTAGTAGGATTCAGGAGAAGTGTCGGATTGCTGCTACGTTGATGGGAGAGTGGCCGCCATTGTTGAGGCCACGAAATGAATCTTCAAGTCCTGGGAGTAAGAATCAGGTTCTGAGTAGACTCTTGTCATCGAAGCAGAAGTTGCTGTCATTGACTTCTTCTCCACCTCCGCAGAAGTCCATTTCGTTTTCACCCTCATCGGGGAATGGTTTGCAGGAGGATGGGACTGGTAGTCAGCTGTCACCGGATGAGAATAAGCTTTTTAAGAAGTTTATTCCTGGTTCGAAGGTTAGAGATGCATTGTTGTTTAGGAAGTCATTTGATAAAGATGATCAGAAGGCTAGAGATGCTTTGTTGTTTAAGAAGTCAGCTGATAAAGATGCGGAAGAGGGGGAAAAGGATGGATTTTTCAAGAGGCTTATGAGGGACAGTAGTAAACGTGAGGATGAGGAGCTGACACAAAGTTCAGATGGGTTTTTCAAGAGGCTTAGAGGTAGTATTAAAAGTGAGGATGAGGAGATGACATCCGGCTCAGATGGTTTTTTCAAGAGGCTTCTCAAGGATAGTAGTAGAGGTGAGGATGAGGAAGTAACTTCGAGTTCCGATGGCTTTTTCAAGAAACTGTTTCGTGATAGTAAGGGTGACGCTGATGACAAGTTGGTTTCTAAATCTTCAGAGGATGACGGAAAGGAGGGGTTTGTTAAGAAGTTTTTTAAGGATAAGTTTGAAGACAAGAAAGATGGAAATGATCAGAATGAGGATGAAGAGAGGTCAAAGCTTGAAGAGAAAGGTTCAAAATCTGCAGAGGATGATGAAAAAGAAGGGTTCTTCCGGAAGTTGTTTAAGGATAAGTCCGAGGACAAGAGAGATGGGACCGAGAAATCTGATGAGGGGGCTACCAATTTTGAGGAAGAAGAACCTTCGGACTTTTCCTTGTTTCGTAGACTGTTTCGGGTGCATCCTGAAGAGGTAAAAAATACTGGTGCAAATGAAAATAACGGTAGTAGCAGCTTGTTTGAAAGCAGCCCGGGTACTGAGAATTTTTTTCGCAAACTGTTTAGAGATCGTGAGCGCTCAGTCGAAGACTCTGAGTTATTTAGTTTCAAGAAGAACAAAGAGGTACGCTGATAATCATTTTGTTCATGACCTGTAGTGTTTGTCTTGAAAGTATGACTGTTGCTCTGCAGCACATTGCTCTTTTCAACTTATGCACTGTGAACCAGCACTTTGTAATTATCACTGTTAAATGACTATAAGTTATATTCTAGTGCTTGCTGATCTTAATCAATAGAAAACTGTGGCATGTACATGCATGTTGATACCTTATACTAGCAGTTTCCTACAGTGAGAATGTATATTAGTTGTAGTTATCTGCTGCAGCAACACAGTTATATTGACCTCCTTATTGTGTGCTTAAGCTCTAAGAAAGATTAGGGTCACTACGTGCTGTTTGTTGGTTGACTGTATACTTTTTTCTTGTTGATATTGATAATTGGAGACTAAAAGATTTTTCATGTTGGAACTTAATTACCTCTCTTGATTTCTTGAAAATCATACTTTATATCCTGTTAGCTTAAACTTTAAAACAATGTTAGGAATTTTTTTTTTCTTTTTCATTGTCAATCTCTGTGATAGTATCATTATCCATGTTTGGTTCGTTCTGCTCTGTTCTGTTCTGTTCTGTTCATCTGGTTATGCTAGTTGTAAATGTGAGAGGTCCAGAGCAGTTTTAAATCGATCTCATATCGGTCTGTATAAAGTTTGTTTAATCTTAAGTGTGTGCTGTAGTCATTTTATACCTTCTGGTCTTGGATGCTCTAATGATACTTTTCCAACATCTTGCTTGCAATAGGAGCCATAGACTACTTTGGCTTAGAGTGTTTCTGGAGGTCTCTCTCCATCTCTAGATCTCTTCTTGTTAGCCGTGTATTTCTCATAATCTTCATCATTTTCTCTTTGCAATCGTTTCTTATCTTAATCCATACTTTAGGTGCCCTATAAAAGACCGATAGTGTTTTCACTTGAGAAAGTCATCTTATTGCAAGCAAGATTAAGGGAGGTCTCTCTCCATCTCTAGATCTCTTCTTGTTAGCCGTGTATTTCTCATAATCTTCATCATTTTCTCTTTGCAATCGTTTCTTATCTTAATCCATACTTTAGGTGCCCTATAAAAGACCGATAGTGTTTTCACTTGAGAAAGTCATCTTATTGTCTGGTAGTTTTAACTGTGTAGCTACTTTTAGCTAGTGAAGCCACTTGATGTGGTACCAAGGACTTGTGATTAAGGGAGGGCATGAGGGGCAGCCCTCAGTCCTCAGCCCTCTCTGATTAAAAAATAAACTAATATATAGTTTATATTTTCCATCATAATTCATAAGATTTTTTATAACACCCTTCTTTTATGTGGCCATTTACACTCTTAGTCTATTGCGTCACCCATAACCCTGAATACTTAATGATATGGCATAAATTTGAGAATTGTGTACAAAAGAAGTAGTTTTCTTTTAGTGAGAAATATTATCAAGAACCCTTTTTAATCGAGTGTTGTTCAGGTTACATGTACAATGGGCATCTAAAGATGTCTTCCATTCAAGCAAAAATCAATATTGAACTTGTGGATGTGAATGTCCCCATTTGTATCTATTATGTGGGAGTCAGGAAACTCTTTCAATACAGTGATACTGCAGGGGGGGGGGAAGAAAATAGTTGGAATATGAGCAGCTGTAACTTTCAATATAACAGAAGAAGTTCATGAAACTGCACATAAGAATATTATAATCATGTAAACAGCTGGAAATAAGGTTTTTGCTAGGCCAAACCTACTTAAATTATCTTGGAAAAGCACCTAGTGGGCCTGATCTGCGTGCTATTGTTGATGTCCTGTATTTCTGCTGGCTGGGAAGTGTCTTTATCAAAGGCTCTTGGCTACAAGTTTCTTATCATTTCCTTATTGAAATTTCCTGGGCTCTAATCTTGCAGAAGCATCCTGGATCACTGAATCAACAGAATGAGAAGTTGAATACAAAGCCTCCGCTTCCAAATAACACTGCATCACAGTTTCGGAAAGGGGCTTATCATGAGTCATTGGACTTTGTGATGTCGTTATGTGAGACTTCATATGGTTTGGTTGATGTATTTCCTATTGAAGATCGTAAAAGTGCTCTTTGTGAGGTTAATGCTTTTCTAAGCTTTCTGTTTCTTACATACAGATATTACACACACATATTTGTTAGCTAGCTGTTAATGCTTTTCCATGATTTGCTTTCCTGTCCACTCTTTGGGCAGGTTAGCTAGCTGCCCACTTTTCTTGGATGAAGAAATGCACTTATTTGTTAGTTTTCTTGCACTTAAAATGAGGTCAAAACGGTGATTGCACAGAAATGTTTCACTTTCTTCACACGATATCACTTTTCTTGGACAAATAAATACCCTTAATTGTTAGTTTCTTGCATTTTAGAATGAGGTTAAAATGGTGATTTAACAGAATCTTTCTCCTTCTCTATACCTATCTGATCATTCTCTCGTGAAATCCTCAGTCAACAAAGACTCGGAAACCTTAATACCTTGGAATTGAAACTATGAATTAACAAACAAGTCCAAGATGAAGATAGTGGCCCATATCAGACTTTGTCTCTTCACAAACAAACAGTCGTGAGTATTTAGATATGTGACTCATGGAAGAAAAAAATATTGATAGGTCTGGTAGTTCAACGCTCACTTAAAGTGATCTTCAGTTCAAACTTAATTTATATTTCTGCCAACAAATTGCTATACAACTAGTGAAATCAATTAAGAAAGCTCAGAGATGAATATTCATCTAGCAGCAAAGATGAAATAGGTTTTGTTGTTCTGCAACAGTGATGAGAGAAATAGCAAAGATGAGTTGTATATTTTTTCTTTTCAATGGTGCATGTGCATGAAATAGATTGTGTAATTAAATACAGAAAAAAAAATGTACTTGCATTTTAAAACTTTGAAATGATTAAAATAACCTTTGAAATTTCAATTTTATTTGTATGAGGCTGGGTGTTTTAGTAAAAAAAAAAAAAAAGGGCCTCATGCTAACCTCCCAGAGCCTGGCAGGTTAATGCACACATACAGTGCATGATATTCTGCTTGAATTCTTTCTGAAAGAGTCTTTTTTTCATTCTTGTGTTTTCAGTCACTGGCAGAGATCAACGTGCATTTAGCTGAGGCTCAAAACAGTGGAGGTATGTACCATATTGTATTTTTGCTGAAACATGACCATCTCAAAGTCACAACATGTTTAACTGTTCTGGCATGTGTAATAGTTTGATGTGTGTTGTAGCATCCAAAATTGGTCTTACAAATTGTGGCAAAGATAGTTCTGATTCTAGGAGGATTTCAAGGTGTGAGGCAAAACACATGATTTTGAAACAAATCTTTCAGAATTTGCGTGTATAATAACTGAAGTGTGTGGGAAATCAGTTAAAATATGTATTCCCATATATTTTTAGCCCATTATACATATATGTGTACCTATTTTCCAATGATTCTAGGCTTTGTGGATGGGAAATCTGTTAACATATGCACTCCTATATTTTTTTAGTCCATTATTTGTGTCTATATTTGTACTTATATTTCTCAAATATGTTAGGTGTCGTGGAACCATTTTTGTAGCTTTTGAAAGATCATTTTGTAATCTGTGCTGCAAATTTATTAAGTTTCTTTCCTTTTGAAATTTATCTGTAATCATTAAGGATTGTTATTATTTGTGTATGTAAGCTGGGCTGCTATATGTTATTTGGTGCCTTTTTTTTTAAGAGAGGGGGGATTACTTAAAAAAAATTCCCTGCTCCCGCCTCCTCTCTCTCCCTCACTCCCTCTCTCTCTCCATCTTCTGTCTCCTTTTTGAATTACAAAAATTATGGCCTTGCTTGAATTGCCGATATGAGTGGTCCAGTCAAAGTTTATTCTTGCAATTAGGCCAGAATATGAATACGTTATGGTCTTATGCTTTGCTGACTAGACTTCACTATTTAATAAACAATATTTTCAGTTTCATTGAAGTTCTCTAAACGGTTGTGGATTTTAAACGTGAAAACTTTAACCATCAAGAAACTAAAGATTCTGCTGCTAAGTAATTTCACTCCTTCCACACATCAACCTAGTTGACCTGCATTCTTGTTCCAAGTTTTATACATCTGATCATTTGGTATATTCTCACAATCTGAATGTTGCTCTTTATACTTTTAGGAGTTTGCTTTCCAATGGGAAAAGGGTTGTATCGTGTTGTTCATATACCTGAAGATGAAGCTGTTCTTTTGAATTCTAGGGAAAAGGCACCTTATCTGATTTGCATTGAAGTATTGAAAAGTGAAGTGCCAAGGTATGCTATGGAATTAAAACACTGGAAAATACCGTAGATTCCAGTTGGAATGCATTGAAATACGTGACTTTCTTTTTTTAACAATGATTTTACGGGTACACATGCTTGATTTTTCTTCCCCTTTTCAGCAATAGCAAGGACACATCTGGTGCTCAAAACCTTTCCAGAGGAGGAATTCCTCTTGCAAATGGAGATGCATTCCTGCCGAAGCCACCTCCTTGGGCTTATCCTTTGTGGACTACCCAGGAAATGTATCGAAATAGTAGTGATAGGATGTCCCAATCAACCGCTGAAGCGATTGACCAGGCAATGTCCCATGCATCTGAAACAAAAATGAAATTTGTTAATGTGAATCTTTCTGTGGAGAAGAAATTACCTAGCCAGTCAACTGTCATTGAAGCACCTAAACTAAATTCTGGCATCAATTTTATGCATCAAAATGCTGCACATTGTAGTGATTTGGAATGGGTAAGGGTAGTGCTGACAGCAGATCCTGGAGTTAGAATGGAAGATGTAGGGGATGAAGGGGCGCCACGACGCAAGGAGCATCGTCGTGTTCCTAGCACGATTGCAATAGAAGAAGTAAAGGTGGGCGGGCTATTTTGAATGGAATGCTGTTCTCCTGTCGTTTGGATGGTCATGTTACAACTTTACCTGTCTTCTGCAGGCTGCCACAGCCAAAGGGGAAGCACCTCCTGGACTACCTCTGAAAGGGGCCAGTCAAGTTTCATCAGATGCACAACCAAATGTGAAGATTCATAAAAATAGAAAACTCGTGTTTCCTGTTTCTTAGTTTAGAATGATGGGATTGAAAGTTTGAATTTCCACAGGTTAATGGTGGCAATCCCAAGGCCAGTGATGCCTTATCTGGTGAACTTTGGGAGGTCAAGAAAGAGAGAATACGTAAAGCTTCAGTATATGGGAAACTACCTGGCTGGGACTTGCGCTCTGTAAGTTCTGCTTATCAAACTGTGTTATCTCTTTTAAGTTTTGCTGATAATTGGAATGGTTTGCTCATAATTTTTGTTCTTCTGAAACATGGTGAACTAGTTATTGAATATCATAGGCAAATTGCAAGTACATACATCTTCTTTTGTTGTAGAGGCTTCTTGTTTATCTTCATATATTCTGCTTTAATTACAAGAACATGTATCTTGATGATGTATAGGTATTTACTTTATCCTGTGTATGCTTCTGTATATCATCTAGAATACTTAATTGTCTAATGTGCTTGATTTGATTTTCCTTTTTAGGCTACAAACAGAATATGTTATGCTAATATAATTCTGCAATTTGCTATTGTTTAATTGCCTCATGTTTTAATGAAATTGTTCGCCTTTTTATTTCTCATGTAGGTTATTGTGAAGAGTGGTGATGACTGTAGGCAGGAGCATCTTGCCGTGCAACTCATTTCACACTTCTATGGTAAGTGCCTGCAAATTTTGTTGCAGCCATCACAACTTACTGAACTATAGAGATTGTTTCAAGTTGGTCAATAAATTTACTGAACTATATAAATAGGATGTCTGTATTTGCCCCCATGCGAAATAGCTAAAATTGCCTGCATTAAAAGAACCATGTTCCTCACCAATTTAGATGAGCAGTTAATCAATAGTACCAAAAAAGAATTACTGCTTATACCTAAGAGCTTACTTCACTATAGTGTGATGATTTACATATTCTGAGGAATCCAAGATGGCTTGTTATTTTCTTGATTGTCAGCTCAAATACTCTGTCGAAGTTGATGTTGCTTAACTTGATGCATATAAATGGTCTTTGATTTTTTTCCTCCTCCTTTTCTCTAGTGAAAATTGAACTTAGATGTTACATTCATAGTTTTAAAACCCGGCCCGGCCCGGCGGGTTGACCTGGGACCCGGCCGACCCGGGCTGGAACCGGGCAGGGTTGATGAAAAAATCAGGTAAGCCATGACCCGGCGTGACCCGGCCCAATTGTATTCCTGCTGATGTTGCTAAACTCCTATGGCCGATATATATATATATATATATATATATATATATATATTTTCATGTTAAGCACTTGCGTTCAAATTATTCCAAGAAGTTGGATCTTGTTCCCTCCTACAGCATGTTCAAGCTTAAAATATTTAGGTTTTAATGCCAGATATATTTCAAGAAGCTGGTGTCCCTCTTTGGTTGCGTCCTTATGAAGTTCTTTGTACTTCATCATACACAGCTCTTATTGAAACAATTCCAGATACGGTAATTAAGTATTTATTTCTGTTTGAGTTGGTTGACAAGGAATGTTCTTTGGTGTTTCAGTGATATCATTTTGTTTTGCAGGCTTCAATCCATTCTATCAAGAGTAGATATCCGGACATCACAAGTTTGCGTGACTTTTTTGTTGCCAAGTATGGAGAGAACTCCCGAAGTTTTAAGCTTGCACAGGTATTAGACATTGCAAAAGTAGGTGCACTGACAATGTGGTTAACCAGCCTTATTCACCCCAAGAATGTCCATTGATGTATTAGCAAATGTATGGTGATTATTTAGGTGGGTTAGTCAAGCTGCTTATTCTTCCTGGAAGTGGTAGTTTCTTTCTAGTTTTTGTGTGTCTATACAAATGTGGGTGGCTTTCTTCATCTTTTATTTCTAGGGGAAAGCTACTAGAGGAGGAAATACTGTAACTATAGATGGTGATGTTAAAATTAATCATAGATTGTGACATCTAACTATGAAGAATTAGCATCCAGATTTACTTTAGACATTTTGTTTGCAACACGAATGATGATGTGCCATTGAGCAAGTGGTTGAACATTGCATGTATTATGATTTACTTTACAACTAGCAAGCAGCAATAAATGTTACCTGATATATGAAGTTGAATAATTTTCATGTATCATGCCTTCAAAATTTCTGCCTCTTATTTCAAGATCATGATTTGCTACTCTAAACCTGAACTCAAATGTTTCACTGGCTGCTTTGAATTCAACCTCTCAGCTTGAAGTTCCCTAAATTGTTATGCAAACCTTTCTACATAAATTAAGTTGAAAGGGCATAACCTGGAATTCATAGTAGTTGGAAGAAATGTTGTTTCTCTCACTAGAAAATGATCAACAATCTGGATTAATGTGAAAGCTGCCTTTTCTGTTTGATAGGATTGTACTTCTATTAATGATATTTCCTTCTCAAGCGTGATTTTTGTCTGAGAAAGATGGTGAAACTGGTTCTTGTTTTTGGAACATTTTCTCTTGTTAACAGAAATTATATTGCCTTTGTGACTGAAGTAAAAATGTTTTCCTTTTTTGTTTTATGGTTAAATAATGTAAACAATGTCACTCTCCTAAGCTGTACATAGCATTAAAACTTCTGCTTTATTCTTATATTTGGCATATTATGTCCGTTCATAGAATTGGAGCCCCATTGTTGATATTTGTAGTTTCTAGATTATTGCTGTTCCTGTAACTTGAGACTGCATTTTGCATCAGCCCCACAGACCCTTGTGTTCCCCAAATTCTTGCTTTTAATTTTAGCAGTGAATAGTGCATCGACCGTGTAGTTAACTACTTTTTTACCCTTTTTTTCTCATTGAAAATATCTCTGTTTTCTTATTTGCTTATCTATTTTTCATTTCAGAGGAACTTCGTTGAAAGTATGGCTGGATATTCTTTAGTGTGCTACCTTTTACAGGTATGGTGCCTAATCTCACTCTCATTTAACAATGATGCGGGTCCTAAAAGCAGATGTCTTGACCAGTCATCTCTCACTGGTCACACTCATCCATCTCTGGCTATGATAGAAAATTTAATTTTTTAACCATCTCTTAACCACTTTTTTTGTTACAAAAAATTTCTTGAAGGCAAATGCAAAGATGTTCTTTTACAATTTAAGAAATAAATTAAAACTACCATCCTCTTTTGAAATGGACAAACAATGTGGGATGGAGGGAGTATTAGATTTGCAGATAAATTAATTGCATATTTGTGTATCTGTAAAGTTAACCTTTCCTTGAGGGAAAGCTGCATTTCTCAATTGAGTGTTGCTGTCATGTGAAAAAATATTTGACGCTTCCAACCAACTGGTCAAATAGGTGTATTTGCTTGTACTATTACCATTTTAACCCTAAAAAGAGCTTTTGTGACTAGAGTATATTGCATCTTATGTCACCTATTAATTCTCTGTGGGAAAAATGTCTTCATCTTTTTGTTTAGGTGAAGGACAGGCACAATGGGAACTTGTTAATGGATGAAGATGGCCACATTATACACATTGATTTTGGCTTCATGCTCTCTAACTCTCCTGGTGGTGTAAATTTTGAAAGCGCACCCTTCAAACTAACCCGAGAACTTCTTGAGGTCAGATAATTTATATTACATGCCAGTGTGTGCGTGAGTGTACACATTTTTATTGCCTCCCTTTGTTATTGTTCCACAAGCTCGTTATGTATTATGTATTTTAGAATCTCTCAAGCTGGTTTTGAGTTTTTTTTATATTAATATGAAACTGGCTACCTGTAGGTCATGGATTCTGATGCTGAGGGAATTCCAAGCGAGTTCTTTGACTATTTTAAGGTATTGATCAGACTTTCTAATGTTTGGATCTAATTATGCTATTTTGGCTTTTCAATCCTCTTGGATGTAACTTATTGTTTACGCCCTTCAAATGCAGGTTTTATGCATTCAAGGCTTCTTGACATGTCGTAAGCATGCAGAGCGTATAATTCTCCTTGTTGAGATGTTGCAGGTATAACTGATCTATTAGTAAACCTTCCAGTATTTTCTGTTGTTTTGGTTCTTTATTTATTTCATTTTTTCCTGTTAGCCGTTTCATAAACTAGGCACAACACATGCTGTTTTGGGACCATATGTTCCTGAGGCAAACATCATGAGACTGTTTTTTACAAGACTGCTCCTGGATTGCACACTTGATGGGTTATTATGTGCGTTAGAAGGAAAAGGTGGGACAAGTAAATGTTTAGGTGAGACTTGTTGACCCTTTGTGGAAAAGCAGGATCTTAAGAATGGGAGTGGCCAGCTTTATATGGTTTTCTGATCTGTACCAGGTAGGCTGGTCGTTAACATATGCCTCTTCTGGGGTCATGAGTTGAGATCAAAACCTTGTGGGAGTGGTTATGTTGGATATTATAGGTTTTTGAACCTGTCCTTGCACCTCTATACCCAGAATTTATCCTGGGCATGGGCTATCTACGTTCCCCATCCTCTTTCCAATTTTCCAAATTTTCCAATCCTTTATCTGTCTGCTTCACAAAATCCCCCAGGTTCCATTGGCTTTCTCTTGCCGAAGTCTGCATTCCCGCACATTGTCATTTGTTTGGTTTCAGAGGCACTCGAGCTTGTCAGTTTCTTTCTATAAACCTGCATGTTTTCCTTTGAAATTTTGGTTCATTGTCATTGTTTAATTTTGTGGCAATTTGTCTATGATATTCATTAAGCCTTTAGGTTTATTGCCTATACAATTGGTAAAGAAATGAGGAAGAAAGTTGGAAGTTTTTTTATCTCCCTCTCTCTCTTTTTTTTTGTACTCCATGCTGTGGATTATTGTTGCAATGTGTGAATTTTGGATTTGAGCTCCCATAAATATTTTACCTCTGATTTCTTTTTCTCTGATATAAAGTATCTCAGCCTGACCTATCAACCAAACCTGATCTGTTTCAACTTTAATAGTGCTGTTATTGTTGAATCAGTAAAATCTGTTTGGACTGCTCATCCCCAATATGTAACTGGGAATTTGGGTTGGGGAGTGATGCTTGAGAAGTGCCAAACCTGGCCTGTTGTCACTAAAGTTTGAAATAGGACAATTAGTTTTACTTGTTCGTATTTATTTGATAGAGGGAGAAAGGAGTACAAAATTTTCAATCGAACAAAATTATGTATTTTCTTTGGAGGGACCTGGCTTTACCATGCTGGTGCTTTTATGTTTGCAATAACAATGCTCCGTTGACTGAAGGCACTTATTTGCCTTTTCTTTTTGTGGGTCAGGATTCTGGTTTCCCTTGCTTTAAAGGTGGTCCACGGACAATACAGAACCTAAGAAAGCGATGCCATCTAAGTTTGACAGAAGAGGTAAAATTATAATTTTATATTAGCATCTATCTGGACAAGATTTGACTGCTATTGTAATCATGATACTGTGTTTTTCTTTCTTGCAGCAATGCGTATCATTGGTGCTCTCTCTGATCAGCAGCAGCTTAGATGCATGGCGGACACGGCAGTATGATTATTATCAAAGGGTTTTAAATGGAATATTGTGAGGTTAGATTTGCTAAGTGATTGCTTTCATTGATCCCTTTGATAAAGCCAGTCCAGTGAAGCATTTTTATTGGAGCTGTTTGTAAATTGATGTCGTATGAGGGAAATTGATTCCATGCACTGTGGCATTGGCAATTAAGCAGAATACTGATGACAGTTTGTGGCCTGTTTTCGCTTGGTGTGAGGAAATTGTAAATGTACCGGCTGAAATACTTTTTAGAAGTCTTGGAGGCTGCATTTACTTCATCAGGGTTTCCTTCTTTTCACTGTTTCCCCTTGTCATTTGTCGTAGAACTCTGCTGGCTGGTGGGGGGGATTTAGTTACTCAACAGGAGAACTTCCTTCTACCCATCTTCAGACAGCACATACTTGTACATTGTGATTCCTCTGGAGACAACGTTCCAGACATGAAATGGTGTCTGAGGCTGTAATTGTTGGTTGGCATTGCAGCTGCTCTACATTTTACACCGGTCAGTGATCAGAAGCAGCCAAACATTCCCGATTTTTATCAATCCATATTTGAAACTCATTATATTCTTCTGATTAAAGTTTTGACGCACTATATCGGACTGGTAGCCTGATGGCTGGTGGCGTCTTCTCCATTTGATGGCTATTCTTCCCAGGGTAAGATTCTTCCATGCTTCCTATCAAAGGCTTGTTAGCAACATTCATGTTATGTTAGATCCCATTTGCTGTTTAACAGTTAGAAAATTTGTTTTTTTGATATTCCTGTTGTATATCAGAGTTTTGGTGGCATCGAATTTTGTTTCCAGGTTGTGCATTTCTTAATGAAAAGTTTGATGTTTGTCAGCCTGCTCGCACATGCTAGGTCTTCTTGCCTTTTTGGTCTTTATTTAGAATTTTATTTGAATAGTTCGATAATACGTTATTGAATTTGCCACTGTGATGAGGAATTATTTAATCAATTTGTATATCGATCAATACATAATCTATTTCCCAATATTTGAACTTGAGGAATTGATCTTTTTGGTGAAAATTTCGATTCTCAAGTGTCAATCTTGAAGACATCCCAGATAATTGACTTCAATTAATTTTCAAACGCATTGACGTGTTACCAATTAAAATTTTATTTTTAAAGTAGATTTTGTGTGGAGACGGCACACATATTATAGTCCAAGTGAGGATAATTAAGTTTATCTATAAATATTACTGAAAGGGTGTTTGGAAATGTTAATGAAAATTAGTGGTTGTTTTTTAAAGTTTTTTTAATTTGGAAATATATTAGAATAATAGTTTTTTTGTTGTTTTTTAAAAATGTTTTTAATATTAATATTTTAAAATAATTCAAATATATAAAAAAATTAGTTTTAAATATAATTTTTAATCTAAAACGTTTTTAAATGTACATGAGGGTTCTAATAAGATCCAAAAAAATAAGAAAGGATTACTAAGATATTATAATTTTAAGAATATTTATGGATCAAAAGAAGTCACTAAGGTTTTTATTTATATATATATATATATATATAAAAACAATGGATCAAGATAGATCACAATTACGGTTTTTTTATTTTAAAAAATAAAAATAAAATAACCTAATAAGCTATAAAGGTTCTTTTTTATAGAGAAAATCTAAGAAAACTAGGTAATGCACAAAAAAAAAAAAGCAATAAAAATCATTAAGAGGAATATTAAAAAAGCATACAATAGAATAATTCTTTATTTATAGAGAAAAATAAACTTAATGACCAAGCAAACGTCTAGGAAAAAAATACTAGATTAAACAAGAGAAACTCTAAATAAAAATAAATTATTTTTAGAACAATACTTTTCCTAAAACAAGAATTATTTTTTGCCGATCCTGTTGCTTCTTGAATCTGCGTCCATAAAGTTCACGGCAATCTTTCCCCATTTAGGCCTGTCTTTTCTCCAAATTCGGTCCTTGATGCTCACCAAATGTTTGGATTTGATACCTGAATAATGAAATCTTGTAATTTGCCTCAGCCGTTCACAATTAATTAAGAATGTTTATTTCGTAAACAATATGATATCAACTACATTATTATTCCTTTTTATAATTATAATAAGCTTCTTGTTACATTTTTTTTAAATCGATCAAAAGAAAAATATTATCTTAAATTAAAGTGAACAGCTTTTTTAAAAATCAAATCAAATAAAAATTTAATCTTGATATATAAAAACTAACATGAATACACTTTTATTGTAAGAACTTGAATTGAAAAAATAAAAATATAAACATAATATAGCAAAAGGAAACATAAAATCGCCGGGAATGTAAGTGTATAAAGATAATACATAATGGTGAAACAATAAAAAATTATAAACGAAAAACCATTATGAAGTAAATAATGTTACACACTAGCAAGTAGGACAACAGTTTTATTTTTTAAAAATAAATATAATTTAATCTTGTAATTTTTTTCTTTTCTTTTTCTATTTATCTATTAGCAATAGCTTGAGTATTATTAATTTTTGTTGACATAGTATATTTATTATAAAAGAGATAAAGGAATATTGCAACTACTAGATTATAATACTGGGAGAAAATTCATTTTAAAAAATTGGCTTGTAATATTTTTATAAATTTTCGGTTGAATGCATCGGTCTCAATACTCAATAAAGAAAATGATTTAATATTGATACACATAGAACTAGTTTTCTTTACAGTGAAACCCAAGAAAAAAATTGCAAAATTTTCTTTTATTTTGCATGATATAAAATATTTTAAAAAAATATAGTAAAATATTTCTTATTTTTAATATTGTTATTTTAAAAACATTAAAAATATTAATTCAATATTTTTTATATTAAATTTATCTTTAAAACGCATCAAAACAGGCTGAAACACAACGCAAAACAGCCTAAAAACCGGCTGCTAAGGACGATGTTTTATAAATATATATTGTCAGTATCTCCCCCGTAAAGTCAAAATTAGTGAGGTAATCCAACCAATCACAAGTCACAACATAAGGAAGGATTCTTAATCACGCCGTATTGCTAATTTAATTTAGTACCCCAACCCCCCCACCCCCCATCCTCTCACTGTGTCTCGATAAAAGCCGACCGGTCCTTAAGTTTGTTTCCCTCCCTTTTCACACATTATTGTTGTTGGCGCTCCACATTTCGGCGTCTCTCGCTCGCTCGCTCTTGATCGCAGCTCCTTTCTCTTCGGGTACGATTTCTAGGGCTTCTTCATCCTCTAGTTACTTCTATTGCGTGTCCTTTCTTGTTTGATTTCTCGCTAGGGTTTGTAGCCTTTTGGGGTTTGATGATTTTGAGCTGTTTGATTGAAATTTTAATCTTGTGTGTGCAATTTAGGGTTTTCTTTATGGTTTTTGTTGTACGGAGGAGCTGTGATTGTTTTGGTGTTAAAGATTGTGTTTTTGCGTGATTTTTTTTGGTGCGTGTGTTGTGGTTTAGGGTTTGATTTTGAAATCAACGTCTTGATTGTGCGATTTAGAGTTCTGTTTTTAATGGATTTTTGCTCTGTACGAGGTCTTGTGGTTCTTCAGATGTTCAGTTTGTGTTTTGCGTAATGCCCTTTTTTTTCTTCTGTTTTTGTGGTTAATGTATTGGTTTGTGTAATTTAGAGTTTGATTTGAGTTGTGTTTTATCTTGATCCAGCTGAGATTGTTTTTTCTAAAATGGGTTTGGCTTTTATTATTGTTGTTGCTGTTTTTGTTGTTTGATTTCAGCTGATTTTGATTGTCAATGTCACTATTGTGTGATTTAGGGTTTTTATTGGTCGTTTTTATTTTGTATATTTAGATATTGTGCATGTGAAGTTACTTAGGGTTATGTTTTTCTAAACTGGGTTTTCTCTGTGCTCCGAGTTTCAGCTGATTTTCATACTATTTTATTGTTTGCTTGATTATTGTTTTGAGGTCCTTTGTGTGTGGTATTTTTCCTGTGACTTAATTGTTTTGCACGTTGTTTTTTTCTGGTTTGTCTTGATTGGAATAGAATCTGTCACGATTTGATATTTTGTTTTATCCTTTTATATTGGATTGGTGTTACTAATAGATTGTTTTATACAGGGTTTATATTGCACACCAAATGTCTTTAGATCTCTACAAGACAAAATCATCATTACTTAGGTGTGTTTTTGGGTTTATGAACCGGGGGAGGCTGTGGTGTTCGTGGAAGTTCTTATTCAGGCATTGGACTTGACCATTCAGCTGTTTGTTTTTCTTTTGACACAAGTGTGTCATTCTCACTGCTTTCAACTTTTAGATTCATTGTTTGTGCGAAAGACAAAAGGTGTTAGTGTATTAGATTTTGCTACCTGCCTGGTAAGTGCTCTTCTTCAGGCACCATTGGTTGCTGCTCCTGAAGGATCACACAGTGCATTGTGATTTGGGTTTTTTTTGTTTTTTTTCTCTCTTGCTTTGACATTCTCTTGGATTTTCTCGATGGGGAAAAAAAGTTCATTGCCTCCTGGCTTTAGGTTCCATCCAACTGATGTGGAACTGGTTAAATATTATCTGAAGAGAAAAGTGCTGGGGAAGAAACTCCATTTTCAAGCAATTGCAGAGGTTGAGATTTATAAATATGCTCCATGGGATCTTCCAGGTAAATCTTGCTTGAGAACTGGGGATCTAAAATGGTACTTCTTTTGCCCTACAGAAAAGAAGTATGCTAGTGGGGTAAGAATGAAGCGTTCCACTGATATTGGGTATTGGAAAACCACTGGCAAGGATAGATCTATTCAGTACAAAAACGAAGTTGTGGGGATGATAAAAACTTTGGTTTTTCATACTGGTAGGGCACCTAAGGGGGACCGAACAGACTGGGTCATGTATGAATATAGACTTGAAGAAATAGAGTTGGCTGACAAAGGAATTGCTCAGGATGGTTATGTACTCTGTGTGATATTCAAGAAGGGACCTGGCCCAAAAAATGGTGCACAATATGGAGAACCGTTTAAGGAGGAAGAATGGGATGATGATGATGATGATGATGAGGTGGAGGAAGTGAATTTCCATAAAGCTATTTTGCCTGCTGCCATGCATACAGCATTTATGTTGCCAAAGAACGCAAACATGTCTATTGCAATGAGCTCATATGTGCCAGAGAGCACATGCACTGGACTGCCTGTCTCATGTCCTTCCCAAACTCCAGCTTGCACAACCCTTCCTATGGTTTCTAGCAATGATGTTGCTTCCACAGAAGATCATCAGGTTGTGCATGAGTATGTGAATGGTGGTGAAGCTGATTCTTCTGCTGGCATTTCAGCAACAGCTTATCAACAACCAAGTAACCCAAAAGGTTCCATCCTAGCAAGCTCTAGCTCATATGTGCCAGAAATTATGTGCTACCCTGCTTACATTCCTAGCATGGATGCATCTCAAGTGGAAGCTCCTCAAATCATGGATAACAGTGGTGATCTTCTTTCGCCACTGGCTATCCTCGACAATGACAATACTGAGGTGTGTTATATATCCTTTTAACTCAATGACACGCATGTAATTATTTACTCTGATTTTGGCTTTGTGCTACACATGGTGTGGAAATTGACTTGTGAATCTATCATGTGGATTGCTTCTTGTGTTTTAATTTGTTCAGTTCTTGGGACCTTGTTAACTACGTAAATAAATCTCGTCGATTTGTGCTGTTCCTGGGTTTTGCTTTGGGTAGTTATTAAGACATGGTTAATCAGTTGTTGTAATGTACCCAGTTATTTTCTTGACTTTCTGCGCAGGTTGTGCATGAATATATAGCTTGTTATTTGCTGTTCCATGGCCGCTGTAATATCTGAAATCTAATATCCCTCGTCTTGGTTTTTCCATGTTCTGTATAATATATTTATACTTCAGTTTGTTTTTTCGTCGCGATTTTATTGACTCTTTTGTCTAACAACTTAAATGAAATTTGATTTGGATTTACAGAATGTTTACTTTGGTGGGATTGCTGAGCCAGAGACTGACATATATCAGAACTTGGGAGACATTGCCTCTTCGGGAAGTGGGGATTATATATCCAACTCCCAGTATTTGATGGATCCAACGCGCCTAGACAGTAATGTGGGCTTTTTGGAGCTGATGGATCTAGACACCCCACTCTATCATAGTTAATAAAAATGTAAATTATGTAATGTCTACTCTTTTTTTCCAAAAAAATGTTCACCGAGTTCAATAGAGTATTGATCCATTAATTCATACTTGTATGACATGAATTGGTTTTAAATCATACTGTAAGTGATTATTTTAAATCTGTGCCGATTTGATGAAATCTAAATTTGATTATTCTCTAGAAGTTTCGACTATTAACTTATAGCAGCCTTTTATTTTTCAGCAAGCTTGTTTTTAACGGTTGGTAGCTGCATGGCTGATTTACAGAGGCCGAGTTGCCTAGGTTCCAAGAAACGTTGGCCATGGAGAAATCAATTCAATTTCCTTTGTTTAATAAAAGAAAGGAAAAGGAGGGAAAATAAATCTGATTTTTTTCCCCACAAATTTTCCATCCAAATTTGAAGGAAATTAAAGGAAATAAAATAAAACGGATAACAGTTTTGCAGCTAAAACTCCATGCACCACACCGAAACTCGTCACGTGTAAGAATTTTCCCGCGTTCCTTCTTCAAAATAATTGTTTTCATGTATTTCTTTCCTTTTTAAATTTAGTGTTGCAATAATATAATCTAAATTGGTTATTTAATTGTATAGTGCGTGTATCATTATACCTAAGATTTTTAATTTTATTTTCCTTGTCTTTTGAAACCTTAGCAGTAGAAAGTCACAATATGTTTGCAGTAATGGATTTGTAAAATAACAACTCTCAATTTACAGGTCCATAACCAGTTGGAAAACATAAGCAATCAAATAGTCGACCCACTTAAAAGAAATACACAGGTCCATGGGCTGCTCCTGGCCCATATATGTGGACCTTCTCTTAGGCCCAGTAATATGCATCGATGATTTCACCATGATTAATTATAAAAAATAAAAATACAAGGCCGTATAGTTTCATTTATCGTGGACAAGCAGAACTAAGTTTCCAAGCCCAGAAACATCAAAGCTTTTTCCCTGGAGCCTGGCCTTTTATGCAAGTCCAAGCACCTAAGCTTGACCATGCTTACCCTTACCTTCTTTTATATTTTTTAATGTTTTTTTTTAATGAAAAAATTACAATCATATTTAAAGAATATAATAGTGTACTTCTAAATAAAATTAACGACATTTTTAGTAAATAATTATATATGAAACTAATATGTTTAATTGTTTTCAATAAAATCTTAAATAAGAAAACAATCTAAATAGAAAAGAGGAGGTTGAATGAATTGAATATGTAAAGACAGGTGACCGATACAGAGAAAGGCAAAACTTGGATCATATTTACATGTCGTATGAAAAGAGAATTAAAATCAATTAAAAGGGAGCAGATACTATATCTCTTATCTCAGTCAGCCGCAGCTGCTCTAATTCTTCCACACACTGAATTTCTCTGCTTATATCCGTCATCCTGTCTCCCTTTCGTCCTCCCACAGGCTCTAAACCCTACAATTACAGTAACAACATATAATATCTGTAGTTTACCCTACAATTCATACGCGCTAAATTAATAATAATTACTGAAAAATCATAGACACCAATAACAATTACTAATACCCAGAAAAAAAAATGAAATATATAAAATCATCAGTGATTTAGCAGGTCAGGATTTCAATGAAAAATAATAATATTAAAGATAATTAGTATAGAAACTTTAATGAAAAAGCGATTACTGACACTTTATTAAAAAGGTTGAAATAATTTTTTTACGCAGCTGTCCCGTCATTAATTGGAAAATGTTAGGGCTTGCCTTCTTGTTATATATGATTGCTCCTTTGGAAAAAATGATAAACATTGAAGAGAAAATCTCGCACAGTACTGTAGCTCTAGAATAATTATTCTCTGCAAAATGAAATGAAAAGCATGCAGATTGTAGATTATATAAATATGCACCGACTCAAGATGTTATTTACCTCTGTAAATATACTTAATGCTTCTTCTATGCTCCTCGTATTCACCACATACAGAGCTGCCTCCTGTGATAAAAAATTTGACCTAATCTTAGCATGCATCACCGAATATGAAATAACCCCACCCCCATCCTACCTAATCATCAATCCCACAGACATTCCAAACATAGAAGCGCTGCCTGTAGTGCTACAGGACCATCCAAAACCCTCTCGCGCAGATATACCCAAACTAAGAAACATATAACATATGCCTTACTCTAGCAAAGTGGATCTGATCCATGGTTAGAGTCCTTGGCTCACTTTCTATTGATGATTTTCTTTGAATCCTCACCATGGCTGCATCACCTTCCATCATTTAGAGAGAGAGAGAGAGAGAGAGAGATTGAATGGAGCTCTATGAGCAGGGAAGAGGGCCTGGAGGATATGGTATTCTTGTGCAATATTGGACCTGCACGTACATGAAAAAGAGCAGCAAAATCTTTATACAGGTGAGGTGATACGTGGCCAGGGTGAGCTGTTGCACTACCTAAAGTAACTTCTCAACTTAGAACCATCAAGAACCTACCACTTGGCAAGCTAGGGATAGTTGACGGCACACGTGTCAATCGATCATATCTCCGGCTCTGTTCAAGAAATCTTTTGGTCCCTAGCTACGTGTACATATTCCATAAGAGGATCAGACTCGTAGGCTTTTGGTTTTGTTTATAGGATAGTTACGTGTTCCTTATGGTACGGCAAGCAATGAAAAAGGGCCACGATCTATGACCTGATTGGTAGGTGTGAGGTGTTGGAAATACTGTGACGAACAGAAACAACAAAAAGCAAACCCGATACGTGTAAAGACACTATTTTTATGGATATTTCTCCATTATTCAACATCCTTCAATCTCTCTTTTTTTTAACTCTCAAAACCTAAGGATATATAGCTTTAAAAAATATTTAAAAATTAAATATATCGTGTAATTCACCATAAAACATGAAAGGTGACAATTTTCTTTCATGGTAATTACGACCATGCACCTATATCTTAAGTCATAACCTGTACAAGTGTAAAATAAAAATAGTGAAATAGAATAGCATTTAACCCATGACCCAATTAAGCTAAAATAGCACAGCCCGAGCTTAAAAGCTTTGACTGTATTTTAAAGTAAAGTTACAGTTAGTTGGTTAGGTTGTAATTGTTTTTAAAATTTTATTATTTAAAAATATATTAAAAAAAATTAAAAAAAAAATTTATTTTTATATTAACATATCAAAATAATCTAAAAATATTAATTTTAAATAAAATAAAATTTAAATTTTTATTTTTTAAAAATTTATTTATAAAATTAACATGTTAAATTAATTAAAAAATAAAAAAATTCTCAAAAACACTTTTTAATAAAAAAAACAAACGCCTGCCAAACTCGAGCTGTTCTTTCCTGGTGTCCCGTCGGCATCATGCATGAATGGGTTTTAGGTCAGCTTGGGAGAGGACATGTGGGATCTGCAGAATCTTTCCTATTCATCTTGATTTGACCGGTCGTGTCGTTTGTTTCCGGTCGTTATTTCCACTTTTCTGATTTAATTTGTCGGCCAACCATTAAAGATATACCGTAGAAAGAAAAACGAAGAAATTTGGCTCCCTCCTCGGTAAACGTTACTGTATTAGAGGATATTTGGGAGTATAATATTAGTTACATTTAAAAGTGTGTTTTAGTTGAAAATATATTAAAATAAAATATTTTATTTTTAAAAAATTATTTTTAATGTTAATATATTAAAAAATATTAATTTAAAACAAGAAAAAAATAAATAAATTTAATTTTTTAAAAAATACTTTTAAAATATAAAAACAAACAACCCAAATATCATCGTTCCATTCTCTTACATGAATTGAACCCTTAATTTATTTCCTAATTTATGTACATATCCTCTCCAGACTGGTCATGCAATTATCAATTTTTTAAAAAAATTATTGATTTTATCTAGATTATACGATGTTAACTGAGTTACAATTCCACCAGTCCCACACACTTGAACTTGGATTTACTGTACTGACCCGCCCAATCGGATTGAATTTAAGAACTATTTCTCTGTTGAGTTTCGAAACAAAACTTTTATAGTCAGCATAATCTTGTGAACAACGAAATCTCTAGTCAAGAGAGGGAAAACAAGAGATTTGCAGACAAAAAAACGAAAAGGGTGAGGATACTTTTGGGTACGTCACATACATGTATAGGAAATTAGGTATGCTGGCATTTAGCTTAGTTCATATCAATCTAATCATCTTAGGCATTTATTACTTGGTGAACACAAAGCTCAGTCAATGCTCCTGTGTGTCCAGTATTATGGTGTTATTTAAAAAATTATTTATTAAAATATTAATTTTATATTATAATTAGGTTATTTTTCAAATAATTTTTCATGTTAAAATATATGCTAATATTTTTTTATTTTTTAAAATTATTTTTAACATCAGCATATCAAAATAATTTAAAAATATAAAAATATATTAATTTAAAACTAATAAAAAATAAAAAATATTAATTTTTTTAAAATATTTTTAAAATATAAAAACAAAAAAACCAGTATATATTTTTTCAGCTATAATATTGTAGACAAAGATATGAAATTTGGATACATGCTTGTGAAGAAGCTTCGAAACAGCTTTATTTTATTTTATTTTTTAAATCTTGACTGATTTTTTTTTCCATTGAGTTTTAAACATATTATTTATATCCAAACTGGTTAGGTATTTTTTTATATATTTTTTGAAATATAAATTATTAATAAAATCATGTGCGGTAAAATCCATTTTCATCCTAATAAAACCTTTTAGGATTCTGGTTAAATAGTTTTATTGAAAAAAAAGAAAAAAAGTTAATTTGGTTTCTTTAATATTAGAACAAGTGCACTTTTCATGTGAACATTATCAATAGCGTATTGACTCTTTGGCGAAATCAACGACTCTCTTCAGTGAAGTGTTAAAGAACGATGTACTTACCAACCAAACACTATTTACTTTTAATATGTTAGAGTTAGATGGATAACGTAATTAAGGGTATTTTAGAATTCTAACACATTTTGATAAAAAAAAATTAGAAAAGTAACACAAGTTAGAAAAATATTGAAAAACCAATATAATTTGAATATAACTGATGTTAAAAATAACGTTGTATAGAACTGTTATGATGAATAATGATTGTTTAAAAAATCATGTTTTTTTTTTAATTTAATTAACATGTATAAAAAATCAATTTAAAATTTTATGAAAATAAGTGGTGAGAAAATAAGATCCAAGATTCAATAACAAAAAAAATAAAGTCACTAAGAACACTTTAAAATTTTGTTTTTGATATATTTAGTGTTGCTAGCAAAATCTTGACGATGAGATTTTAATCAAATTTTAAAAAATTATCAAACATAGTTATGATTTATTAGAAATTTTATTTGGAACTAATTTAAGGTTAATTATAACATTTTTTATTGTTTTTTTAAGGTGTAGTTTAAATCTTCTTATCAAGTTATTTATAATAGTATTAAGTGTATCAAAAACAATCTTACAATGTGCTCATGTAACCCTCTTTTTTTTTTTTCTTTGTTTTCCTATTTATCTTTCCTGCCATGTTATCTTGTTTTCTTCTTTTTTTTATTGACTATTGGATTTTAATTTTTTTATTATTGGATTTTTATAAAAATTTAAATTGATTTGTATTTACTTTAATTAAGTTGCAAAAAAAAAAAACATGACTAAATAACTGCTATTTGAAATAACGAATGTGTACAAAAATGATATTCTCAAATGTGGCTATGTTCAAATTGTATAATTTTTTAAATAATTTTTCAACCTACGTTGTTGTTCAAAAACTTTTAACAAATTATGTTATTTTTTTAAAAAAAATCTGGTAATTAAACTTGTTTCTCTTTTCATTATCTCAATTGTAAAGTCAACAGAAAACTGAAATAGAAGATGTTATGTGCACAACAATTTAAGTATACTTTTCCTCTTCGATGGTAAAATTACCACATGCTAATCTTTCTTCGAAAAACAATGTAGAAATAGATTTATTGGCACTCTTTACTGAACAATATAATGAAATCTTTGCTATTGTGAAAAAAAAAAACATCTTAGTTTTAGAGGCTATTGAGATTTTTGCTCGTATACATGTTAGTATATGTTACTATATGAAAAACATCTGTATATTAAAGATACCCATGCATTTTAAATAATATGTATAACATTTTTTATTGAAAAAATACTATTATATCATGTTGTTAAAAATATTGTTATGTCATTTTTCTGATGGTGCAACACATGTCAATGGTATTGACATGGTTTATTTCTAGTGAGTTTTTTTTATTTTTTATTTTTTAAAAAAATTATAGCTTGCTTTTTTTTGTTGCTGATATTTCAGTTTTAGTTTTTATTCTTAATTTTTATTTTTTTCTTAGTTATTATTTAGAAGTTTTGTTTTTTTTTAATTTTATCATTCAATTTTAATTTATCATCTGTTATTTTTGCTTTCAATTTAGTCTCTATTCTTTTGATTTCTAGTTTTTTTTCTTGGTTTTTTTGTAAAATTTTTCTTAGTTTTTAATTTCATCATTTAATCTAAATTTATGGTTCATTATGTTTTTCAATCCGATCCTTATTCTTTTGATTTTTCTATGTTTTTTGTTGAATTTATTTTTCCTTTTAATCTCGCACTTCAATTTCAGTCCTTTTGTTCAATTGATTTTTTCCTTTTAATTTAACCCTCCAATTAAATATAAAATTTACATTTTATTTTGATTTTGATCCTTTTTTTTAATTGTTTTTTGTTTTGTTTTGAATCCTTTTGTACAATTGAAATTATTTTTCAATTCTACCCTTCAATATTTAATTAATTGAGAATTAAGTTTTATATTTTTTTTTAAAAAGGGTGTTTTTGGTATAATAATTAGGATAACAACTTTGAAAAGTTAATAAAGATTGATTTTGATCTTTAAAAAAATATAAACTTTGTGATTTTTATTTTTTTTCCTGTCAAATTATCATATTTTTGTGATATAAATTATGAATTTAGCGAAACAACTTGTGTTGGCTAGGTCTTAATAATTAGAGTTATAAGTTTTCCACGCTAACTTAGATTAATTAAAACTAGTTTTTTTAGATTTTTTATTTTACTCAATTTTATCCATACACATTTAATGGTCTGGAAATTGAGTTACATTATTTATTTATTTTTAAATAATTTTTTCCTTAGCTTATCATGATCACTTTTTTCTTAAAAAAATTGGTCTATTTATTGTTGTTGATTTTTTTATTGCCTAATTAAATTAAAATCAAATTATTTGACATAATCATGTCTATAACTCAAGGCATAAATTCTTTTTCCTTATTTAAAATATGTTTATAGCATTTAAATAATATTTTTTATGCAAAAATAATCGATCCCATGGGATAGAGCAATTCCATAGCTATTGTATACTTTAGCCACTTTATACTAAATCCTTCATTA